CTATTATTTGAGCCTACGTGCTCCTACGGAATTAAAGTTTGCGGAGTAGCTGTTATATGCAACATAGCTATGTTGGAAAAATGGCAAACAAAGATCTTGCGTGTAATAATTGGTGCCCGTTAGCACAAAACCAATGCGAGCAAATTTTGGGAGCGTAAATATTCCAGCTGTAATTTGGGAAAGTACCATCAGATCTGGCGCCGAACTCTTAAGCCATCTCCTTGCACGTCGTCGTCTAAAACGACTACTGGTTACAGGTTTGGCAAATTGAAAATTATATTTAATTAAGTTGGTCAACATAGGCAATCACCTCTAGACTAACTAGACATATGAGATTTTATCAATTATTTCAAGTTTCTTACATAGAAAGTTACATCGTCAATAAATAAATAAATATTGAAATAAAAGCAAAAAAAAATTAATTATAATCTCCTGAAAATTCAATATTTATTGTATTCCTTCAAATTTGAATGGGAATTAAATTCTCGATTTATGTTGTTTTAACAAAATTATGAAAACAAATGAAAACAAGAAACCGCCATAAATGCAAGAAAAATGTACGCAACAAAATAAGGAACAGAAACGAATTCTGTGAAGAATTTGATATTCTCGCTTCTAATTGGTCATAATGCCGTAACACCCATTTATCCAAATAAAGCAGATCGTAAGTGACTCTCCGCTCTCTTCCCCTCCCTCTCACACATTTTCGCGTGCTCTCTCGATTATTTGATATACAATATCTTTGTGCTTCTCACTCTCGTTCATCTCATCATTTATCAGTCGTTATAAGGTATCGGCAGCCTTACACGCAATTTTTTCTAAGGAAATTCATTCATTCACGAAATTAAGATAAGGAGTAAAGCAAAACTACTCGTTTTATATTTAATACACACAATAACATTAGACACATGTGTATTCATCATGAATATCCATTAGAGATACCTTTTTTGCTATGCACCTGTGCTCGATATATCCGAAGATTTTGAAATGCTTTTCCAATCCAGTTTCCCTTTTGCTCACGTATCAGCTGAAGCTTTAAATCGTTAAACGAATGCATTCCCGATTATATAAAGGGGCGAAAAGAAAGAAAAGAAATTCACATTTCGTTGTAACAATTTTACTCCTTAAAGCGGACAAATAAGAGAAAAAGTGAAACTCGCATAAGGGTACATGCACTCATATCTAACTATCTGTACATGTCCTATGATAACAAAATATATATTAATTTAAGATCGGTTACGATGCTTTACGAACGTCACGACAGTAGTAGTGTACCGTGTTGCCTTTAGTGTTTAGGGTAGAGCGAGAGAATCTCTTGCCTGATAGCCTGATCTCTCTGAAATGGTCTGCCATTTGTACGCCCACTTTATTTAACACTGCATGGTTAATATGCGATATATTACATACATCTATTTAAAATTTATTGACTTTTTGTTGTGTCGAGATTTTCTCGATATTTGTTCTATGTACGCGTATGTGAAGATTTATTTATGAAAATAGTTTTGTTATTTATTTAAAATTGTATTTTAAACTCAGCAGTGGATTTTTTGGGCAGCATCCAATATAATGAAATTGTTGAAATTTTCATTAAATTATAAGATGTGCTTTAGTTCGGTTGATAATGTATTTTTAAATCATACAATTAATAAACAATAAATGACGTTAGAAACATAACTTAACGAAACTATGTCACACACAGACAAATTTTTCTTCTTCTCGCCGTTCAAGTCGAGCCAAGATAATTGCGAATGAGTGGACCGAACTCTATAATGAAGTTAAGTGGATAAAGTTGCTGCAACTAGCTCATCTAAGATTACTTACCTATTAGACGTAGGATTTAGGCCCAACTACGATAAAATTCTTTTTTAATTCATTTCAAAGATTGCTATCACGGCTTGGCAGACGGTTCAGCTGAGTGACTTTATAAAAGATTAGTTCGCGTAAATCATGCCGATCCTTTCGACAGTAACTGCTAAAATATATGTTTCGAAGCCGCAATTCCCATTCATATAAATTAACATTGATGACAACTCGATCTTATTTATATTCGTGATTTTAGTACATTTTCGGATTAAACCGCTCCGCCAGACTACAGTAATATGAGGTTTCCTGTATGACAATCACAACTAATCATACTCTAAAGTATACTCTCAAAGATATATATATATATATATATATATATATATATATTGATAATCAGCATGAGGCTCTATCTGAGTCGACTTGGTCATATTAGTGTGTCCAAAAGTCAATCTGTTGTCCTTTCTTCATATGTGAAAATTTACTTGATATCTTGAAACATTTCTGTCCGAAATTATGAATAGCATATCTATAGAACACATGAGGAAAAACGAAAACTTTTATATATAACTCCTTTACCCGTAAGCAAAGCAGACAATAAATTTTATATTGCAACGATTAACGTTCGATTGTTTGTGCCTGTATGTCTGTATGTATGTTCCTGTATGTAGACAGTAGCAGTAGCTAGGCCCCACAAGTAATTCCTGCAAAATAAAAAATTTTCTGTCAAAAGCGATGTCAGTCAAAATTTCATATCATCATTTCACAATGCGATTAGTGTCGCTATTGTCGTCATTTTCCAAAAAAGAAAAAAAGAAAATTCGAATACTTTGATGAGAAAAAGACACCGTTCAAATTGACATTGACTTGGCAGCGTTATTAGAACCTTTCTTCTGCGACAATAATAATCTGTCGATGGTTCTCTTATTTCAAACGGGATCGCACGGATTGAGGTTCAACGGAGTGCGAATCCAAAAGAACTGGTCCCGTCAGAAAGTATACAAAATATTTTGTGAATTACTCTTGGAAATAAACGACATCCTACAGATATGAAGCGTTTCCCATAAAAATGATTCTTTCCTAACTTGGGTGCGGTGGAAGAAACACCTAAAAGTTTCATTGATTCGAATCGCTGTTTGTTTGGAGCCATTTGGACGAGACACATGACCCCAGCCCCAATTACAGCGAATCGGAAATGCGCTGAGTGTTAATCATAACGCCTCGCCAGCCCGCAGCTTCAATGGCAAAATTGCATGAAATGAAATTCGAATTGCTGCCTCATTCGCTTGAATTGGTACCAAGCGGTACTCGGACGAATTAAATTTGAATCTAATGACGAGTTCATTGTGGAAAGTGGAGTTTTGGGAGAAAGACGTCAAGGCATTAGAGAATTTTTCAAAAAATAAATAAATAAATAAATATATCTGTATATATTTTTTTTAATTATTCCCGAGAATTATTTTCCCATATGTTATATATACGCGGCGGGATTTGTATTAAATCGTACTTTCGATTAACATAAACTGAATCGTGTTTAAAATTGATCGTAGTTTATATTTATGCGTTCATATTGAACCTATCTGTAGTAGTAGGTGGTAGCGTGAACTCGTTAAGCATCCGCCGTTAGGTGGATAATGGATAAGAGGAGATATGGATTAAGTAAGCGAATATCATCACCTCATCATAACTTTTCCGTTTCACTTATATCTATCGTAATTGTTCGTTTATCTTATTTTATCTTGTTTCAACCGCCTCTGAGCAATTGTATTAATTCCGATTTAATTACTTTTTCAAATCTAAAAAGAAAAAGCATGAATTCACTTTGATGTGGTTTGGGAATCATAAACACCCCAAGAACGCAAACAACGCAATCATCGCAAAGTAAAACAACTATCGTTGTTTTTCCAATAAAAATCAATTATTTCATTTATTTGTTTACAGATATAAAATGTTTTGCAATTTCAAAATATTTACATGAGCAGGCAAGATCGACGTTCCTACCACCAACGAATATCTTATACAGAAACCAAAAGCTACCGAAAAACAATAATAATGATAATAAAAAAAAAAAAAAAAAAAAAATAGGAAAAAAGAATAATACAACAATACGGCCTTTAAAGAGGTAACAGGTAAGCTCGAAACGCACCGCGAATGACCTATACCTCCTCTTCACCTTTATTGATTTGGCTACACGACGGCCAAGTAGGCAATTGCAACAATGGGTTGATTAGCTGAAGACAGGATGTAACGAAACCTACAGCTGCACCTAGCTGGAGGAGAGAATAAGAACTCAACGAAAAGCTAAAGCAAAAGCAAGGAGGAAGAGCAAAAGCAAGAGCAAGAGCAAAATAAAGTAAACACATTCGTGTATTTATGATTTCTTGATGCGATCACGTTCTACGAAAACCTTTCATTTAAATCTAAATTTCGGTTATTTTACACTACTATCGGCAAACTGAAGAGATTCAATGCACCCAATAATCAAACACAATACATATGGACGCATCTATATATGTGTGTATATAGAGATGTAGGAAAAGCAAAGCGTAAAACAGTTTAATGATTCACATTTTCAGCTCATTAACTTGTAGCGTGATAAAGGAAAACTCTGTTTAGCCTAACATAGGACTTTTTAGTTTAGTTTATCTCCTTATAGTTGTCGTTCGCGTTCGCATTCGCGTTCGCGTTCTCGTTCTCGTTTTTGTTCTCGGTCTCGGTCTCGGTGCCGGTCTCGCTCTCGGCCTCTCTCTCTCTCTCTCTCTCTCTCTCTCTCTCTGTCTCTCTCTTTTACTTTCGTATACGTACATACATTTATGCATATATTATTACAATACTATTGATTATTGTTGCATGTTCTCGTATCATTAACGAGATCATCTAAAGAAACCGTTATTTATTCTTTGTAACGGCGCGTGCATTGATCTGCCGAGCATCGCAGGCATACGTGAGACTTTCGCTTACAAAAACATCAACATAACAATATACGTATATCCTCCAAGAGAGAAGAGCATGGGCGCAGCGACACCTTCATTGACAGAGACTCTGTCGAGAACGCATGCACATTCAACCAAATCGATCGATCTATTTTACGCTAATTTATGTAAAGATAACTTTAAACAAAAAAAAAAAAAGGAAATTTTGTATTTGTTTTAAGTGAAATCATTGTTTCGGTTGACATCAAACGTGTAACACATCACTCCTAAAAAGAATTTCATTTGGCATTGTTAAGCCTGAAACCAAAAACCAAGTTCTACTATCACTACTAGATATGCTGAGTTCTTCGTATAATTTAAATTTAACACAATTATCCGAGCAGCAGGCAGTGAAAACGCCCGAATATATGGATTCATCTAACAGTGACGCTTTAATATCAGATATTTTATCGGATAATATGCCGTCGGTAACACGAAACTTTTACTTTTACTCGCCGTTACATCCCTTAATCGGTATGTCGAATAACTTTTGGTCTTATCCGTTCTCTTTTCTGCAAAATACTCATCGCGCCGAGAAGCCGCCGTTCTCCTATATTGCTTTGATCGCCATGGCCATAAGCAGCGCTCCAAATCAGCGATTAACTTTAAGTGGAATATACAAATTTATTATGGATAAGTAAGTATGTTGTAAGTTGATGGAGAAGAGCGACCGCGAAACTTGCCGACGGTGAAAGCTATTTTGAGGATTATCCCCTACAATGCTATCTCTTCATGTTTCTTAATCATGGATAATTGTCAATTTCGCTTTCGCTTTCGCTTTCGTTTTTTTTTTTTTTTTTGTTTTCTTTTTTGCTTCTATTCAACGCCCTTACATTGGCGAAAAATGCAATAACAATAAATGATGTAAGCACAGAAAGTGTTTCCTATTCCTATATGCGATAGCCTTTACAAAAACAAAAGACACAAGTTTTTTATTCCGTTTTCATGGAATTTTTTCAATGCATACGAGTAAGTTGTTGTGTCAAAACGAAGGTAAACTTTAATAAAGTATGACACGCACGTCGTTCATTTCACTTTAACAAAATTTATATACATGAATAAGTGTTCGTGTGGACACTACATGAGGAGAAAGTACAACTAAGATCCGTCTACATCGGCAATCCTATATGGCTCCTTGGCATACGTAGATTAGCCTCGTAGGTGACGATGTAGAGAACAACCCTATTATCGCCTATTATACTCGCAAGATAAAGAATTTTATTAAAAGTCAGAAAGTTTCGCAGTTTTCGCATATGAAATAAGTTTTTCTGTGAAAGCAATGCCTAAACGTGAACTCCAACCTTGGAATGGTTAATTTCTTTATCAAACGTCTATTCGCCATGCCTATGAGTTTGCCATTGATCCTTAAACTTGGATGCATAAGGGGGCAAGCAAACATGCTTACATCAATACAGAAATTTTTATCCGCTTAAGAGTATATATCTGCGAAACTTCGTTCCTAGGATTGCAAGAATTTCGTGAAGAGATTACACTTTCGATCACAAATAATTAATAAGGGCCTTAGGAGATTTGTTCCATTTTCGTACAGTTATTGTAAGATCACTTAACGAACATACCAACATACCATGCGTTCATGTTGTCGTCATATCTGTTGTAGTTTACGAGTAGTAAGCAAACAATCGATTTACGTTGAGATTTTCCCAGTTTATGCTTTATGCGCAGGTAGGTCCTTTCATCGCTTTCATTGAGGCACATATATTTTTTGAAATGTCTTCAGTTGCTCTTCTTCAAGAAAATACAATTACCGTGTATTCGTTGACTTTTATCCGATTCTGTTTTCTTCGCCTCTCTGTCGGCTATACTTGTCAAAAAAAATTTTAAAAGATTAATTATTACATGATAGGTTTTCGGTCCAAGCCGTTTGTAAGCCGTTACCTTCTACGACAAGTCTTGGACAAGAAAGGATCCTAAAAATGAACCCACTTGGGCCAAAATATTTGAGACTCATCGACTAGGAATAATTCGAATTTTATCGCCTAACGAGGACTGGGGAAAGTGTCGAAATAAATCGAACAATTAAGAAAATTACATTAGGTCGAGCAGCGAATCATTTATACTCATCACCGACCAACAAAAGAGGAAAAAATTACTTCTTCATATTCTATGATGTTGGGTAGGATATGCATACGCGCATTCGTGAATTCGAAACTGGCCAGGAACTCATATATTTTATGGGCTTATCGAAGCTTATTTCTGTGCGTTATGAAAGTGTAAAAAAACATTAAAATTTGATAAAATATAATGTTGGATATACTCGGTCAATTTTACTCATTTTTATACGGGCAGTACAGCATCGCCTATAGAATATATGTTCAAGTTTTCGAAAATTGATCTGCTGTTCTTTATGAACTTATCTATATAGTTATGGAACAGCCAGCGGTTTTTTTTTTTTTTTTTTTTTTTTGTTTCTTTCCAAAGGAAAGGTGCTCTCACTTTAAGTGATACCGTAAGTATATTCTTCGATCAATTTGGCCTACTTTCAATGCCAACCTGCGTGGAAGAACTTCCCATGTTTCTACTCAATATGAAGTCAATAGATTCCTTTTTGAGGCCAAAATTTTTAGAACAGACAGAAATGGACAGAAATGAACAGAAATGGAGTTGTTCGTTGTGCGAAGTCTTACTTATCACAAAGTATCCGCGAGAGTCCAATAAATATGTTTACAATGTATAGCCCAAATGCAATATTAATTTATATACCAAATCAATATTCTGAATCAATTTTCCTTATAAACTACTAAAAACTAAACCTTGTCTGCGCATCAATGTTTATATTTTGCAAAGCATTTTATGCGAGAGAAGATTCAAGAAATGGCTTCATCGCAACCAAAATTCAAATATTGATTCGGTGTACCCAAAAGCCAGACATGATATTAAGGAGCGATCGTAAAAATAATCCGATCCAATCCATTGTCAAGTGAGTTCGTTTTTGACCGTAAAAATATCGAAACAAATTTCTGACCGGCTGCGTTAAATATACACAGACAGACTTGAGTTCATTGAAAAAAGTGTTTCTTAATCGATTACCATAAAAAACTGAATCGACTCATACTGCAAGTATTTTATGGACCATGGGACATGTTATCTCAGAAAGCCGTAACGCAATATTTCAAGATTTCAAGTCAATAAAAATTCAAAATTTCTATTTTCAGATTTCCTTACTATCGGCAGGGCAAGTCAGGTTGGCAAAATTCAATACGACACAATCTGTCGTTGAATGATTTTTTCATTAAGGTGCCCCGTGATAAGAACATAGTCGACGAGAATAACGAGAGCGCCGGCAAAGGCAGTTATTGGATGCTAGATGCATCGGCAAATGATATGTTCGAACAGGGCAATTACAGACGCCGGCGAACGCGCCGACAAAGGCAATGTCTAAAAACTGGTACATTGCTTGGGGAATCTCTAAAGGTAAATATAATATAATGCAGCAAAAGTTGAAAGAATTCAATCAAATCAATTCGAAATTTCGCAGGCGTCAGTACAGCCTAACAATGGCGAACGTTCCGCAAGCATGAATTCGATTTTTAATCTTAACAACTCATCAGCATTGACTCTCAACTATTCAGATCGTATAACTGAAATTCATCGCCAATACTTAGCCTCATTGGCCCCGCTAAATGTACTATTCCGAAGCAGTACTATGCCGTGTTCACAAACGAGCGATGAGTTCAAGGTGACAGCAACAACCACTTCTACTCCTAATAAGTGCTGCTTTTTCAATGCGTCTCCTGAATCAATTGAAGCCGATTCATTAGATTATTCAGCGGATACTTTATCAAACAGTAGTACCAGTTCTAGCAACGAGCTTCATCTAACACAACCCTTCACTGCTTTCGCGTCATCCACAAACTCGACAAAGTATGCTACGTTGACTAGAACCGATAATGAGGAGTCCTTCGCAACGAAAAATTGCTCAACGAATGCCTCAAAGCACTTAATAGCTTTTAGTATTGAGAATATCATTAAGAAAGACTAATATAATGAAAATAATTTGGCTTGAATTTGAATCTTACTTGAAGTTTATACCAGCACGAATAACGTATAATGCCGATCAAAGCAGGTACACTATTGTAAATAAATAAATTTAAAGAAAAAGTTCTCATGATTTTTGAATAATAACAGAATATGTTTATCAAGTAGGCAGTGCTGCGAAGAGAATAAAAAGCAGTTTCTAGAGCAGAGCTTTGGGTAGTAAATTTTAAGTTCGATTAGTTACCTTCCAAATATATCATCAAGGTCCAATTATACAGTAGGCATCATAAACTTGAGTTTACTTATATTTGATAATTTTTTGCTTTTTATTTATGCATAAATTAAATGAAGCGGATCGCAAAAACTAAATTGGGATTTTAAAAAACAAATTAAAAGCAAACAGACCGACAGACCGGCAGTTAGGCAATGCATGATTCAAACGATTCCATTACCCTAATTATTCTCATTTTGTTATTAATAGTGTTATGAATCGATTTTTACATAACATATTATTTTAAAGAGTCCCTCCAATCGACAAAACAAACAATGTTCGGCATTTTTTTTTTTTTTCAATAGATTAGAGAGAGAGAGGCAAACCAACTATAATAATGATAAAAAACGCTATGAATAAAAAATTTATGAAGACATGTAAAAAGTAAAGAGTAACTCTATTAAACTCGTGCCGTTATATCACGTGATCAGTTTCTCATTGCACTCTCAACATTTGCCACATCCGTCAATTTGAGGGGTTTGTGACTGTCAGTTCAAAAATTCTGCCTAAGGAAGCGGATATCCACAGATAGTGTTATATATACGTTTTTAATGATTTAATGCAGTAAACATATATGTCCCCTTTTATTGCCTGGCATACACCTATTTTGCCACATCTAGATGTGCTATACCTGCGTTTACTGAAACACTTCAATTTAACTAATAATTGTTGTGAATAATATCATCTTGCAAAAATAGAGAGAGAGAGAGAGACAGAGAGAGAGAGAGAGAGACAGAGAGAGAGAGAGAGAGAGAGAGAGACAGAGAGAGAGACAGAGAGAGAGAGAGAGAGAGAGAGAGCTCCGAGATTGGGCACACACATTTTCTGACCGATACGAAATACCCTGTTCAAACATGAACGTGATCTATTGACGGACCTAGAAGCACCGAAACCATCGAAAAAAGATCAACAATTTTTTAAAATTTTCATCTATAACTTTCGATCCCGGGTGAGTAAATTTTTAAAAAACTCTCTTCCCCTCTTACAAAGTCCGTCTGCATCCTGCATATACATGCACATAGTGCTTTTGATTTTATAATATATATGAAGTTTGGTATTCCGTACAATGTGCATAATTGTGCATAAATTTGCGGTTTACGCCTTCGATAAATTGGTTTTTGGATGGTGCTGCCAGATGAAAAATGCATTATTTGTTTAACATAAAAAGTAAACGAGTTGTGCAAGCATTTGCTAGACATTTTCGAGATGTGTGTCTCGAATTTTATTTACAATATTATCTGCATAAAAAACATGCTTTCTTGAAATGTCAAATTTTTTTCCAAACGCTACGAAATAACCATCTGTGCCAAATACGTCCTTGCTGAGGACTTGCGTACTTATCTATTGATTTCTTACCTATTTAACAGATTTCTTTAGGAAGCGTTTATGGTCATTGAAAAACAATATTATTATTATTATTATTATTTTAATTTTAGACTAATGAATTGAATTCTTAGACTAAAAAAAGAGACATTGAGCACTAGCAACACAGGCTATCGGCTCTGAAAAACAATATATTTTAGCATATCTTTGCTTATATCGCCATCCGGTAAATATAAATCTGAAAGCGATTCGCAACCCGTCAGTGCTTTTATCGCCAACAAGAACGATCAATTATCGCTTTCGTCGCTCTCTATAGCATTCTCTTCAAAAAATAGACCTTAAGCAATCACTTGATTCAATTTTTCACTCAAATATTCCCAAAAATTCTACGGCGATGGCGTGATCGGTTTACTAAACGAATGCTACAATGTTATCAATCAAAATGGCCCTTGCAGGTAAGTCTGTTTCTGCATGATAGCTACGGACCGCAGACGGTATTCACCAAACTTCATAAATAGCTGTAACGGATGATTTTTCACAACTTGTTGACGAAAATTTGTCTTATGTGGAAATGGAAACATGCCAAGGCTTTACAAAATGGCGAGAAATAGGTTTGCCAGCGAAATGAATAATTAGAACCCAAGATGGGAAAAGAGACGGCGTTGGCTGGCAAAGTGTTTAACGAGTTGATACGAGTGCTCTTGTTGCTGCTGCAACAAAGAAGCTTATCGTAGGGTAGAACCGTCGGCATTATAAGCATTAGAATTATGATCTGGTGGAGATGCTGTCGCGCCCACTACTATAATATTTCTTGGAGTTTGATGGCGGCTTATAAAAGGCGAATTCTATGCTGCCAAACGGCAATGTTCGTCAAGCGTTTCTGTGCAACACACAGACGCGCACTTATACAATTATAGTGTTAATCATTGATTTATTAATTAAATCATTTTATCAAATGCAGTTTTCGTTTATCTTGTAATAATAAATATAATAACAAACACACACACGTCTACTTGACTTTTTAATTTTTTTCTCTAACATTTTTTTTATAAATAAAAAAAAGCAAAACAAGCAGCAATAAAACAAAACATTGTTTTTTTGTAAACATAACGTATAACGTATAACATATAAAAAGTATTTCATAAATAATTATAGTAAAAAAAGAAAAATTCATGTTCTTGGCCCAAATTTTCTTTTACTTTATTACATATTGTTATTTAGCTTAGTGTGTAATGTTTCGACTTCTTTCTTACCATTTATAATAAATAAGAAGTTGTACTTAACAGCGCCCTCTAGTAATATATTTTTTTAATGACAGCGCGTTAGGTTGCTGTTGTTACTTACTTACCAAAGAAAGCCAGAAAGCATATATGCAGAGATGAAAACCAATTTTTTGTAAAGCTCCTACCGTGTGTGGTTGTGTGGCAAATTCGAATTTTTGCTTACATTTGCCACGCATATGCTATTGTTTGCATTTGTACTGAAAAAGTTCTACTAAATTCATATGCATTCATATATCGCGTTTCAAAGTCGTACAAAAGAGGCATAGTCGCATGAGCAACACCGCGCAATCTAGGTTCAACAGTGTTTGATTAAGTAAAGCCCATTGATGTAAAATGTATGAAAATTGAGTTTGAATATCAATGGAATATCAATGAGACATTGAGCTTTGAACCAGCGGCCCTTGGTTTGGTAGCCGGGATTCATGTCTACTCGCCTGCTCGTCTGAATAATTGTTATTTATTTTTACTCTGTGTGGTTCTTTTTCGTTAGCTATAGATTTTCCTGCACAACTTTCTCATGTTCTATAGGACTCTACGTAAGTACATGGCGGCTCAATAACATTTGCTGTACTTTTTATTGTGCTCAAATTTCGGGAAGCAAAATTATGGAAATTTTTGAAGGCTCATAAACGTGTCGAAACCCTCATCCTTCCGTATTTCCCCCTACATGCGGTAATTGTTTGGTCTAAAGCTCGAAAGCTGCTCAGCTACTCGGAGAAGAAAGGGTTTAGGTTTGCTACGTATAAACTGGCAATGGGTCTTGCTTTTGGAAGCCTAAGATGAATATCGGATGAAAAAACGGTTCTCTTTTTCGAGAAAAGAGGACATTTTCATCTTGCGTTCGGTGCTCTCGAGTTTACTCAATTTCTGATGCTGTTACGAAGTGAAAGAAGGCTGCGGTACAGTTCGGTGTATAGTATATAATGACATCTTCGGAGGCATTTTTTCCTCGAGAAAGGATGGTGTACTGGACGGTCTTCCAGCATGTGGGAATGGAGAAGGAAAGAGTTCGTAGATTTAAGCATTAAAAAAAGAAAAATTTATTTTGAAAAAATAATAATAAAAAATCGCAACGTCAGAGCCATTCTTGCGAGACTCTTTGAATATAAGGGGCCCCGCGGCATGCAGTGGAACTGGTCTTCATTTAATATAAAAAAATCAATTAATCGCAATTCCTATATCTGGGAAAGCATGTGGAGGTTTTTAGAAATATTAAATATTGACCGAAGTGAACCTAGTCCCCCCAAAATAACTCCAAACATTTTTAGGGGCCGCGTCTTTGCTAAGCTAGGTTTATCGCGAAGTATGAAAATAAAAAAATATGACAAAGCAAGCAAATATGCGAAACAAGCCAAGCCTTTAATTGCGACCGCAAAATCAAGAAAAAAAAAAACGAAGTTATTGCCACCAACTCTGACGCCCAGTTACAGTACAAACACTGGAAAATGGGCAATGTCCAAATCGAGCTTCAGAGGCATTATGTAACTCCAGATTTAGATGCTTCTTGAAAAACGCTGAAACCTATCAGAAGAAGCGAATTTCAGTATTACGTTCAGGATTTATTACCGCCAAAGTCGTCTCAAACATGTCCTCCACATCTACATACGATCCTAGATTAATCAATAATAATTTTCACGAATTTATTCAAGTGCAGTTTTTGATATGTTTTAAAGGACGCTAAGACCCATCAGAAAGCCTATCCAATTAAAACGTACATAACGGATCAAAAAAGACGTTATACGTTTTGTAGGGGATCAAAAGGCCCATAAAAAAGGCCTTTGTACGCTTTGTGTGGATGTTCTGTACGCGTTTCATAGCTGAGTTTATAACAAATTCCAAAAACTTTATCCTAAGCTTTTCAATTCTTGCTTCAATGCTTGCTTGAAACAAACTTACGGAACTGCTCTCGGTTGTTCAAAGGCGATCTAGATGGGGTTACACTAACAGATTTTTTTTTTTTTGGAGAGGGCTTTAAATGAACATAAATGCTTTCCAAACGCATCCGTTAATGCATCAGTGGAGCCTGAGAAGAGCGAGAGATGAACAGGCAAGACATAAGGGTGCCTTGTGCCTGCACAAATTCATTTGACATTTGAGGTATTCTTGCCGTAGCCCTTGGGAAGCACT